CGATCCCGGAGGGCGTCCTTATACCACACTCGTCTATTGGGTGGACAGCTCCATAGCTGAGTGTGAACCTGCCCTCATTTTAGCAACAAAACAGAACAAGCAAGCAGTAAGCACAGCCCCGTTTCTCTGGTTTGCCCAGGAACAACGAAGTAGTACAGACTGCTGGGCTCCCCAGGGTCTCTCCCCACCCCCAGCACAGGGTACAGTGGCCAGCATTGTTCTTGTCTCTTCCGCCTCTGCAAGGTAAGCTCCTCACTCAGTCCCTCAGGGTCAGCTAGACGCACTCCCACCTGCTCAGGGACTGCCGTTCACCTGCTTGCCCTAACCATTCTTCGACCCAACTGCAGGGCTCCTGTCCCCAAGCTGCCCGTTTTAATAATATCTCCAGTCCTGCTCTTCCTGGAACTGCCCACCTGTGCCCCTGCACTCTGTGACACAGCAGGCCTGTCCACGGCTCCCCAGGGTCGCCTGCTGGCAAGGTTGCCCTTGCCCAACATGGGAACCCTCGGCCCCCACCTGATGCACTCCCTCCAAGAGAGGCTGGCTCCTCTGTGCCTGGATGGTGCCCGCACTGAGCACCTGCCTCCCAGCTGAGAGCCTGGAGTTCTGGAACGTGCAGGCTGTGCCTCTGTGAGCAATCCCAACACAGCCTTTGGCATTGGCTCATCAGGGCTGCCCGGCGTGGCAATACCCTACATGTGCTGTAGCATGGTCGTCGCCAGCCGGGTGCTGAAAACCATAGGGGCTTCCAGTGAATGTCCAAATGAGATCTCTGGGATCCTGACACATGCTCCTCTGGGCTCTCGGCATCTTTGTCCCACCCCGCGCCTGTCCTTTTCAATATTAGATCAGATTCTGGCACTGAATTCCCACAAGATCCCGAAAGACAGATCCTCCTTACAATCACTGGTAGCCTATTCAACTCCTTGCACAAGCCCAGACAGCCAGCAGGGACTGGAGACATCCCTGTCAAGAGAATGAATGAATGAAAGAAATATGAAGGCCCCCCGGGTGCTTGGGGCAGTGGCAGACTGTGGGCAGGTGCCTGATGTGCTTTGATGTCGTAGCAGTGTGCTAGCTCCTGGGGAAGGAATGGGCAGCCTGGCGGATCGCACTCCGGTAGGGTTTCCAAGTAATTCCTGACCTCACGAGGTAGCCAGGGAAGGCTCTGCTGGAAACAGCGGCATGTAGGAGCGGCTGTGCACAAAAGCAGGAAGAAATCCACAAGTCGCCCAGAGCTACCTGCAAATTCTGTCTCCGGCACTCAGGGCTCCCGGGCTCAGATATACACCCTGTATGGAGGGCTTCAGAGCAGCTGGCGGGCTGCAGATTTGCACCACCGAAAGGGTCGGGGATGGTGGTGACACGTTTCCATATTTATTTATTTGCAAAAACCATGCAGATGAGCTCACACATTTTATATATGCCCGTGCGTGGGCGTGGGGGAACTCAGGGGTTTGCAGGTGTAATTCCACGAGCGCCCATGTTTGGCGGGTGCAGGCGTGCGTGTTTCCCCGCGTGGAGCCGGCCAGTGCACACCCGTGCACATGCATACTGATCCGCGCTCGTCCGCTCCGCGCTGTGCACAGACAGCTGCTTTAATAGCATCCGCAGCTGAGCGGGGGCACTCACTGCTGGGGCCCGTGTGGCGCTATCAGCATTGCTTCAGCCCTTGCAGGATTACCAGTGCTCAGTGCCGTTTTAATAATATCTCCAGTCCTAATCCCTAAACAAAGATGCGATGATTTCGGCTAAATACGCCAGATTATTTATTAAGACAAAGTCGAGGATGTGGGAAGCCTCGTCTGGTGGAACACTGATTGCCCTTCGAGGTGTGAGATCGGGAAGCCGGATGCATCTGTCTCCCCTCTGGGGGAGGGGGAGGTCCAAGGACCGGGAAGCCAGCGAGTGATGAGTCCCAGAGATGTCAGGGGCTCTCGCAGGAGGTGGCGGAAGACCAGCCAGACTCCTTCACCAGCTAGGATAAAGTACGTGCCATTCAACAAGCATCACCGCTCCCCCAAAGCGGGGCCTCGAGTGAGAATCTTCGGTGAGGGTGCACAGGACAGTCATGTGACTGCTACTTGCATTCAAGGGCTTCTCAGGCCAGTGATGGGCCGGGAGAAAGGGAGCAGCCACTGCGCACCCAGAGAACGCTTCTGCGTTTTTAGGGGATGTCTCCCCTTGATGCATGCCATCCTGTCCCAGGACGTGGTGGGTTCCCTCAGCCAGGAGCCCACAGGGAGCCTGCAGGAGCATCCGAAGCACAGAGGGGAAGGCCAGGAGCCGGATGTGAGAAAGCAATGCCTGCTCCAGGGAGCGGAGCGGCCAGACTGATGAGAGACACGGCTTCCCACCCTGCGCCATCGGCTGTTGGAGATCTGTGTGCGCTTCTCCCCCACCCTGCATCCCAGGCCCTCCTGCTGCTCTCAGTATGGGCCAGGTTTGGGTGCACAGATACAGCTCAGACGTGGCCACTGGCTTCCATAGAGTGAGCGTGACCTGTGTGTCGCCGTGAGGCCCAGGTGAGGTAGCCCAGGTAACGGGCAGTATTCAGGAAGTGTGCGTATGTAGCCCATGCCTGATGTCTCCCCTGCCCCAGGGGCTGTGGGGACGTGCGGCGTGACACTCCTGCCTTGTCGGAACATAAAAGGCACGCAGCCCTTGATACGGCTGGATTTAAATGTCATCATTCTGGCTTTTTACTACATGCTCCATCTGTTCTTTTCAGATCTCCTTTCGTGTGAACTAATTTTAATCTCCAGTGTGGGCTTTATTAGCGCTCTTTGTTGTGTCATTTTAGCGGTGGCTTTAGGGTTTACAGGACACATCTGTAGCTCATCACAGTCTGCCTTCAGGTGCAGCACACCAGTGCACACGCCATTTAAGAATGTCCCCTGGAGTTCATGGCCACTTCTTCCCACCCTGTCCCATAGCTCCCAGACGTTTGTCTTAGCTATCCGTGACAGTATGTCTTAGGACACTACTTAAATCTTCTCTTTAAACAGGTGTCTTACCATGTGATTGAAACAGAAGGAACCCGCACCCACATACTTACCCACATAGTGGCCATTATAATTGATTACTTGGTGTTATTAACAAATTAATCGGCATTAATTTTTGCAAAGTTTGTTATGGAATGCCAGGGTGGTGGGTTTATTCTTCCACACGTTGCTTCTGATGGAGAAATCGTCTAGTCTCTTTATTTTTATTCCTCTGTACAGAAAGCATCATTTTTTTTTCCTAGCCTCCTTTAAGATTGGGATCTTTATCACTCTTTTTGAGCTTTGGAAAAATATTCAACACAACCTAACATCCATTTCTGATAAAAACTGTGCCACAAACTAAGAACCAAAGGGAACTTTTTTTTAAAAGTTTTTTTTATTTATTTGAAAGTCAGAGTTACACAGAGAGAGAAGGAGAGGCAGAGAGAGAGAGAGAGAGAGGTCTTCTATCCACTGGTTCACTCCTCAGTTGGCTGCTACAACCGGAGCTGCGCTGATCTGAAGCCAGGAGCCAGGAGCTTCTTCTGGGTTTCCCACGTGGGTGCAAGGGCCCAAGAACTTGGGCCATTTTCTACTGCTTTCCCAGGCCACAGCAGAGAGCTGGATCGGACGTGGAGCAGCAGGGACTCGAACTGGCACCCATATGGGATGCCGGCACTGCAGGTGGTGGCTTTACCTGCTGCACTACAGCGCCAGCCCCTAAAGGGAACTTTTCAACCTAATTATGGGCATCTACCAGATTCCGTAGTCATGCCACAGTTAGTGCTGCCCTCAACATGAGATATATCCACTCCACGCCCTCACTTCTGCCCCACACTGTCCTGGAGATCCTGGCCAGTGCAGGAAAGCAAGAAAAAGAATTGGAAAGGGAGAGAGGAGGATGGGAAGTTGCCCTTACATGTGGGTAACACGGACATCTGTGTCAAGGTACCTGTCCATGCAGAGAGTTCTATGGAGTTTGTGTATGTGTGCACATGTGTGTGTGTGTATTACAAATTATTACCAAAATAGTTGGTGAGTCTAGGAAGTTGCAAGCTATAAGACTTACATATACACACATACATACAATCACAGACAATTGGAAATTGAAATTTTAAAAATAGCATTTATAATATTATCAACAATATAAAACACTTAGGCATAAATTTTTAAAATTTTCTCCCGTACTGAAAACTAGGGCACACTGCTGGGGAGTTGCATATGGTCCATATGGATGGAAAGACCACACGCATAAGTTGGCAGGTCGATACCGATGTTAGATGCCCTGCAATCCCAGGAAAAATTCCTATAACTGTTGAGGGAGAAATGTAAACGTGGAGTCTAAGATTCTTACGGGAATGCAAACCATCTGAAATAGCCGAAACAACTTGGAAAAAGTTGGCAGGCTGACATGACCTGAATTCAAGACTTGTTTTAAAACTGGGTTAACCTTAAGGCTTCCTGGTCTGGATGAAAAGCCCGTGAGAGCATTTCAGGCCTGGAAAGCAGAGACACTGTGGCAAAAAATGATCTACATGAAGGATCTCTGTGAGTGAGACCCCAGCGGAAAGAAGTGGCCATCAAAGAAGGATGTACTTCTCTCTGGAGGAGAGAACTTCCACTTTGGTTATGGCCTTGTATAAATACTGATGAAGTTTGTGGATTCAAAAGGCTTCCATAGCCTAGGCAGTTCATGCCAGGAGGCCCGGGTGATCACTGACATCATACATAAAAGTGTTAATTATTAAATTAACAACAGGAGTCACTGTGCACTAACTTCCCATGCAGAACCTCTGTCCTCAAAGAGTTGTGTTATGAGAATTAACTGTAAAACTTGTTCTCAAACAGTTTTTGTGTGTTCGTGTGCAAATTATTGAAATCTTTACTTAGTATAGAGTTGGTCTTCTGTGTATAAAATTAATTGAAAATGAATCTTAATGGAGAATGGGACTGGGAAGGGGAGAGGGAGGAGGAGGAGGGGTGGGTATGGTGGGAAGAACAGCTATATTCCTAAAGTTGTACCTATAAAATTTGTATTCCTTAAAAAATTAATTAACAACAAAAAAATAAAGAAATTCAACAAATTAAAAAAAAAAACTGCAGTAATCCTGCAGTAGAGACAGACAAGTGGATCAGCTGGACCCCAGCAAATGCAGCGTGCTGTGAGGACCTGCCTCCGCCCTGTCCCCAGCCAGCTCTGCCACAGAGCGTGGGCAGCTGAGTGGCTGAGCAGCTGAGCGCCTGCCCTGCCCGCCGGGGAATCAGGGCTGTTGTTGGGAGCCGCCTTCATCAGCCCTACTCCCTCACTCTCGAACCTTCTCTGCATTCAAGCGGGGGCTGGGGCACTCTCAGCTGAGTCCCTCCAACCCCAACGTGGGTCATTGGTGATCACTATTATTAAGTGCCCGTCCCAGAACTCTAGGCACTCCTGGGAGTGGTTACCAAGTGGTTTCCAGGGCTTGAGCGAAAGCCTCAAAAACTCAAGGCCAAGGGCAGAAGGAACACTTGGGCGCCATGGGGCAGGGCTGGCACCGGCAGCCCGCGGATTCCCTGACGCCCAGCTTCCCCTACCCCCGTGCCGGCCTGGGGCCACCCCAGTATCCCACCAAGGCCTTCTCGCTCGCTCTCACTCCACTGCAACCCCCTTCTCTCCTCCGCACCCACTCCCAACCTCCAGACCCAGCCTCCCTTTAAATCTACCCCAACGAGATGTCCCTTGCTCCCGGTGTCGCGCAGTGGAGGGAGCTGTGCTGCTGTGACGAAGAAATAAACTGTGCCAGTCCGAGGGAGGGCCAGGGAAGGAGACACTGGCCCTGGCCCGAGACAGAGGACCCTTGGTGGCCCTGCTGGGGCAGACTGCTCATCCCGTATCATCATTTTGAACAGTCTAGCATGGTATCAGGAGGAGCCAGTGGGGCTCGGCGGTCATGCCAACAACCACCGCTCACACCTTGCAGCCATCCAGAGCCAAGAGGAGGGAAGGAAGGCAGCGATGACACAGCTGTCACTCAGGGGGCAGGTGCTGCGGAAGGCAAAGACCTGTGAGTATGGGGATTCAGGCAGGGCGCTGAGGTCAGAGCCCCTACATGTCAGGTAGGTGGGAGGGGACAGAAACCCCAAAGACCCACAAAGCCCAGTTCTTCTAACACCCCCTCCCAGCACCTGCTTGCTAAACTGAGAACCAGGGGCCGAGTTTCTTTGTTTCTCTGTATGCTCAGCCCAGCTAGCTCCCTCCCGAGCAGCCGACTGAATATTGCAATCAGGGTGGGCCTTCTGGCCAGTGTTTCTTTGTACCTGGGGGTCAAACCGAAGCCTCAGAGCGCAGCCCAACCTACAGCATGCCCTGTGCCAAGGTGCCAGCAACGAGAACTCAAATCCTGTGTTTAACAGGTGCATCATTCATACTTTAGTAGATGGTGTGGATCGATCGGAGCAGACGGGCTCAGGGGAGGCTCAGCCTGGGCAGAAGAACCAGCCTGGGATGCATGAGAATCCCACAAAGGTGAGCATTCCATCTTTTATTCATCTCTTTATTCATGGATGGGCGGAATCTTTCTCCATTCCCTCACCAAAATGCATTGTGGCTCCCTGTGAGCCGGGCGTACTCCAGCCAGGGTGACCCAGCTCGGCTTCTAGGAGGAGGGGGAGATGTTTGAACTGAGCCTGGGAGAAAAATCAACATTTTTAGTAGGAAGAGAAACAGAGAAGTGTTGGGTGCACCTGTTGTGGCTGGAGGAGCCGCATCCATGAAGGGTAAGGCATAGGGGAGGCGGTGCACCTGCTGTTACATGGGGTAGGGAGGGGTAGAAGTGAGAGCTGAGGCCAAAATGTGCATAGAATAAATGCAGAGGACCCGATACAGCAGATGGAGGAATTGAGATATTTGCGGGGCCTGCGCTGTGGCGCAGCAGGTTAAAGCCCTGGCCTGAAGCACCGGCATCCCATGTGGGGCCAGTTTGAGTCCCGGCTGCTCCTCTTCCGATCCAGCTCTCTGCTGTGGCCTGGGAAAGTAGTGGAAGATGGCCCAAGTCTTTGGGCCCCTGCACCCACATGGGAGACCCAGAAGAGACTCCTGGCTTCTGGCTTCGGATCGGCGCAGCTCCAGCCATTGCAGCCATCTGGGGAGTGAGCCGGCTGTTGGAAGACCTCTCTCTCTGTCTCTACCTCTCTCTGTAACTCTGTCTTTCAAATAAATAAGATAAATTTTTAAAAAGAGAGAGAGAGAGAGAAAGATTTGCTGCCAGCTCTAGGGAACCTGGATTTTTTTTTTAAGATTTGTTCATTTATTGAAAGGCAGAGAAGAGAGAGAGAGAGAGAAATTTTCCATCCGCTGGTTCAGTCCCCAAGTTGATGCTAGAACCAGGGCTGAGCAAGGACAAAACTAGGACCTGGAACTTGGAAATCCATGGGGGGGCTCCTGTGTGGGTGGCAGGGACCCAAGGCCTTGGGCCAGCATCTGCTGCCCTCCCAGGTGCATTGGCAGGGAGCTGGATTGGAAGCGGAGCAGCTGCGACTCACACTGGGTGATATGGGATGCTGACATCACAAGTGGCCGCTTCACCCTCTGCCCCATGGGGTCTTTAAAGCTGGGACTGGGGGCACTGGGAAGCCAGCACCAGCCTCAGCACCACGTAAGAGAAGAAGGGGGTGGGGCAGAGGCTGAAGGCTGGGGGAACAGGAAGAGGAGGGGAGTGAAAATCTCAGGGTGGAACCAGCATTGCTGTGACTCGGCAGCTGCTTGCATGTGGAACTTCGGGGACAGGGAGGGGCCCAGCCTGGGGCAGGGTGACCTCAGGAGCAGGCGCAGGGGACAAGGGAACAGACAGGCTCTGCTTTGGCCGTGCTGAGCCGGATGTTCAGTCTTGTGCCACGAAGTGCCCAGAGGCAGGTGCTGGAGCCTGCAGGCTGACCGGCTGGCCACACAGCCCCTGGAATGGCTGGAGGCTCCAAGCCGCAGAGAGAAGATGCAAGGGAAGGGGCAGGCATTGGTCTAGGAGATAAGAAGCCGGGCATCCCGTATGGGAGTGCCTGGGTTCGAGTCCCAGATCCAGCTCCCTGCTAATGCAGAGGCTGGGGAGGCAGCAGGTGGTGGCTTCAGTAATTGGATCCTTGAAGCTCCTGTGGGAGAACCTGAATTCAGTGCCTTGTTCCCAGCTTCGGCCCTGCCCCCAGCAGTTGTGGGCTTGTGGAGGAATGAACTTTCTCTGTGTCTCTCTGTTCTTTGGCCTCTCAAATGTACGTATGTGAAAATTTAAAAAGGCAGAGTTACAGAGAAGCAGAGAGAGAGAGGTCTTCCATCCACTGGTTCACTCCCCAGTTGGCTGCAACAGCCAGAGCCGCACCGATCCGAAGCCAGGAGCCAGGAGCTTCTTCCCGGTCTCCCACATGGGTGCAGGGGCCCAAGGACTTGGGACATCCGCTGCTGCTTTCCCAGGCCATAGCAGAGAGCTGAATCGGAAGTGGAGAAGCCAAGACTCGAACTGGCGCCCATATGGGATGCCGACACTGCCGGCAGCAGCTTTATTCGCTACACCACAGTGCCGGGCCCCTCTCCAGTATTTTCTTATGGAGCCTCAGATAGGAAAGAACACTCATGTTCACTTGGGAAGATCCAGCACTGCCAAGAGAGTTCAGGAACCTTAGGGCTGAGGGCAGCCCCAAGGAGGGTCACGTAAGAAACCGCACTATAAGGACCCTCGGCCACAGCAGCCACTCAGCAGGGTGGCCGTGTGAGGCTGGACCATCACTGGGCAGGCATCCTCACCGACTCCTTTCTGTGTGAGGTCGTGGCTCTAGCAGGTGTCATCTGTGACTGGCAGGCATTCGTGGATGAGAACCCATCCTGCTCCAACCCCTTCACCTGGTGTCATGCCTGGCCCTGGCCCTCCCTGGCCCTGGGGAGCCAACGACGGGAGATGAGGGGCTGACACAGTAGCCCCAGGACCAGTGGAGCCCCTAATTGCAGGGAGAGGAGGGGCTGCAGAACGCCCCCTGCAGCTGACAGGGCTGGAGCCAGGGCCCCAGGGATTAGCACGATTAGCCCGCGTTTCTGAGTCTACTCAGATCAAAGCATCACTCAGGGCTACGCGCCTGGATTCACGCCACGCCCCCGCCACGCTCCCAGGTTCAATGTGCCTTTTTCCTTCTCCCTGCCAGGCCTGTGGCTTCCCCGGGGATGCAGAGCCTCACAAGCCCCCATCGGCCTCTGCACATTGCTGATGGCATTTCCTATCTGTGGCACGCCCCAGCTGTCTCTCCCATGATTGAAGGAAAATCTTAGTTAGCTGCTGCTGCTGCTTCTTCTTCTTCTTCTTTTTTTTTTTTTGACAGATAGAGTTAGACAGTGAGAGAGAGAGAGAGATAGAAAGAAGGGTTTTCCTTCCGTTGGTTCACCCCCCAAATGGCCACTACGGCCAGCACTGTGCTGATCTGAAGCCAGGAGCCAGGTGCTTCCTCCTGGTCTCCCATGGGGTGCAGGGCCCAAGCACTTGGGCCATCCTCCACTGCACTCCCGGGCCACAGCAGAGAGCTGGACAGGAAGAGGAGCAGCCGGGACTAGAACCTGGCACACATATGGGATGCCAGCGCTGCAGGCGGAGGATTAACCAAGTGAGCCACGGCGCCTGCCCCTTAGTTAGCTTCTTTGCAGGTGGAGAGCAAGCCCTGACTTCTCCAGGTGGTCTTCCCTGTTCGTTGCAGCCCACTCCCTCCATCACCCGCTTCCTGGAATGAAGAGCAGACGCATCATTAGGGATGTCTGTGTTGTATCCTAACGACCCCAAAAACTGCCGCCTCCTCTAAGAGGAGCACAGAGAGAGAGAGAGCTGAAGCAGAAGGAGACCCTGGGCCCGTGTCCCACTCTCTGCCATTCTCCTCTGGCCTCTGCCTCGGCTGCTGATCTAGGCGATTGGTAGCAAGCCCATGGGCAAATTCCAGAAAGTTCGAGATGTTTCCATCAGGGAAGGCAACGTGGCACTCACATGAGAGAGAAGAAACAGACAGCTCTGGCAAAGTCAGAGAAAGGAAGGGGAGGGATCCGAGGACCTGGGCTACTATCAGAGAGCACTGGGGATCTGGGGGAGTGTGGTTGGGGATACAGCTCTCCCGTGGGGAGGGGGACTGGGGTGAAATCCACAAGGAGACCACTAGTATAGTGTAGTTTGTCTGAATTGCAAAACTTTGAAGCATCTTAAAGCTATTTAAACAAGCTTTTAAAATTTGTTTAAAAGATTTGAAAAAGTAAAAGCAGAAAGAGACACAGAGACGGGGGAGAGAGAGAGAGAGATCTTCCATCTGCTGGTTCATTCCCCAAGTGGCCACAGCAGCCAGGGCTGGGGCCAGGCTGCAGGCAGGAGCCAGGAGCTTCCTCTGGGTCTCCCACATGGACCTGCAGGGACTCAAGCACTTGGGCCATCTTCTGCTGCTTCCCTGGGGCCATTAACAGGGAGCTGGGTGGGAGGAGAGCGGCTGGGACTCGAACTGACGTTGCAGGCACCAGTGTGCCACGTAAAGGGTGTTCTCTTTTGTTTTTATGACAAAGAGATTTAGTTGGATTTATGTTACAATTAATAAAATACAAAGTGAGTTGCCAGTAACTGTGTGTCAACAGTATTTGAAACACAGTGTCACTGAGGAGTATGAACAATCCTAGAACATCTGAGAAAAAAATCAATATGGGTTTTAATAAGCATGGATCTTGTGTCTTGCTTATGAGAGGTCCTGTGGGCAATTTTAAGAAATCGATGAAAATATTATTGAAAGTGTTGTTTAAGAGACATTTAAGAATACACACAGCGAGAAGGTGACTGTCTCCCATATGCCACTCCCAAAGGGTGCCTTCTTAACAGTTCTGCCCGGGGTCTTCCTTCTAAATAAAAAACAATCCCTTCTTTTGGTTAAAAAAAAAAAAAAAAAGAAAATGGTTTGAATTTTAAAACAATACAGACAGAGGCAAAGAGGATGTGAAACAGCGCCCCCCTCAGGTCACGTGAGGGTAGGAGTTGTTATTTGAAAGTGGCCCTTGCCTGGGGAATCTCTCTTTCTTTAAAACCTGATCTCATTTAATTTTGGGTTCTCTACACTGACAGCCATCACCTGGGCTATTTTGCTGGAACAGTCTCTTGGTTTCCAGAAAAGTCCTCTAAGTTCTTAGCGTCCCAACTTACTGATTGCTTACAGATGATGCCCCGCCCCTCGGCTCAATCTGTTTCCCCAGCTCACTCCCTGTGTCCTTTGGCTGCCCTATTATCTTACCCACTAGCTCTTGGTTTAGTCTGTCCTTGTCCTTCTCTTTCTCTCTGCCTTTTGAGTCAATCTGTCAATCAATCAATCAGCAAATAAATTGAAATGAACATCCTGTGGCATTTTGGGTGTTCATAACACTCCACAATTATTTAGCTCAAATAGCATCTTCATCGCCCCCAAAAGGAAGCTTGAAGCCATCAAGCAGTGATTCCCCATCCCCGACACTCCTTCCACTGCCTTCCCCTGCTGACTCCTGGCCGGCTTTTCTGTTCCTGTGGCTTTCGTGTTCTGCATATTTCGTGTAAATGGAATTCCGCACTGCAGGGTCTTTTCTGGTTAGCTTAGAGCAACGTGTTTGGCACCCATCTACTCTGCAACATGTATCACGCCTCTTCCAAATAAAGATTTATTTATTTATTTATTTATTTGAAAGACAGAAAGGGAGAGACAGAGAGAGAGAGAGAGAGAGAGATTTTCCATCACCACTCCATTCACCTAATGGCAACAACAGCCAGGGATGGGCCAGGAGCCAAGAGCTTCTTCCGGGTCTCCCACTTGGGCCATCCTCCACTGCTTTCCCGGGCACATCAGCAGGGAGCTGGATCGGAAATGGAGCAGCTGGGACTCAAACCAGTGCCTGTATGGGTTCCAGTGTCATGGGATGCTGCTTGGCCACAGCACTGGCCCCCACATCATTCTGTTTTTATGCCCGAAATTACTGTAGTGGGCACACAGGCCTCAGTTCATGTATCCGCTCTCCTGTTGAGGGGCATGGGGCTGTTCCCACTTCTTCACTGTTCTAAACAGCGGGGCTGGGAAGGTGCAGGTAGCTGTCCCCGTGTGAGTCCCTGTTTCCAATTCTCTGGGCCCACGCTCAGTGTGGAATGGTTCAGCCATATGGTAACTCTATGTTTAACTTCCTGAGGGACTGCTAAAGCCTTCCTCAGAGACTGAACCACTTTGCATCCAATGCACAAGGCCTCCGAGGATCCCACAGCCCTGCCAACACTTGGATTTTCCCTTCTTTTTGTAGCATGTATTTTTCTTTACTTCCAGGGCTCCTGTCTTAGGAGGTCATCGTAGGTTCTTCATTTGTTCCACGTTTTGGAATATTTCAAGGCTCCTGATCTGTGTCATTACATCCTTCATCAATTTTGTTTTTTCCTTGAAGTTCAAATTCCTGTGGCTTGTTCACAGATTCTAAGGACAATACGATTTCACAGGGTTTTGTAAGCAAAGTTATTCGCAATTTATTTTGAAGTTGAAGAGCTGCATTTGGAAGAAAAAAAAAATAAAATAAAAGCAGCGGAATCCCTTTAGGAGTCTCATTCCAGGAGCACTAGGGGGCCCAGAGCCCATCTGCTGCCGGGGTTGCTGTGGGGGCGTTCACTTCCTCGGGTGGGATATTGGACAAGATGGTTGCTAACGTCCCTTCCAATTGCATTTTTTAAAATTAGAATTTGAATATTTATGGAGGCCCTTCTGCAAATACACAAAACCCTGAGACTGTTGCAAATGTCTCCTTTCAGAAATGGATTTTTGCTCTCTTGCCACAGTAGGTGAGAACGGAGTTGTGTCCAAAGGGCTGAAGATCCTGGCTCTTCAGAGACTGTGGAGGAGGAGTGAGGAGAAGAGCAGGTAAGAGGCTCCGTAAGATGACCAGCAGCACCCCAGGCCCCCAAACTCCCTGGCCCATCTCCTTAGATCCTGCACCCCATCAATCTGCCAGCTGAAGTCGCCAGACTCATGGTGCCCACGCCAGGAGACTGCTAAGTCCCTCTGTGTCTTGTTTCCAGCTCCTCTGCGTGTGGACATGCACGCCTCGGACACCTTGAGAGAGGACACTGCTGTCCCCAAATGGGGGGTGACCGCAGAAAGCGCCCCTTTGTAATCTGGGGCTGGCTCCTCCCTCTCCCGATGAACAGCACTGCAAATCAAGTAGGGGTTTTGCGGTATATACATATGGAATGAGGTTTATTTATGAGTGGGAAGAAACCTATAAAGAAGAGTTATGAAGTCCAGGAGGAATTGATTTATGTCCCAGTAAAAGTCAGACTATAGTTCAGCTAGGGGGATGGCAGTCTCTGACAGGTAGCCCTGAATAAATCCCCAGCTTCTAGCGCCTTGTCTCCCCTCGCTAGCCAGCAGGCGAGGTCTCATGCTGGCTCGGGGCTTTGCCCTTCCTGCCCTTTGTGCTTCCCTGGTCCTGGTGATCTTTGCAGGAGACAGAGAGGGGAGAGCTACCGGTGAGCCAGCCGTGAGAGAGCCTGGGGTCTTTCTCACATCGTGTGGCTTTTCAGAGGCTGGAAGCTGAGCCGGTTCCCCGGGGGCAGGTGGAGCCTGGCCAGCAGATCTGAGGAAGCCAGGGTAGGTGTCCGCAGGGAAACCTGGCTGCTGTGGGTAAACACGCCGGATCACAGCATCCCCCAGGGCTGCGGGCCACAGAGCCCTGCCTTTTAAGACATCGCTGGGAACTGTTTAATGAGATCCTGGCCTCCAGCGGCCGGGGCCTCTCAGAAGCTCAGCATCGTCAGATCTTGGACCAAAAGCTGTGCACCCGAGGACGCCAAGTGGTCGTCGGTCTCTGTGGCTGCCGACGCTGGATTCCTGGGGCTCCAGACCTTATCTGCATTCCGATGGGGCACTGCAGTGGTTTGTGTCTGGATGGGTTATTGTTCAGAGTGCACAGACTGGCTTCTAGGGGCTGGAGTTGGGATACCGAGTGCACAGATACGGCCAGGAGTTATTTCATCCATCTATAACCATCTTTATCTATCTATCTATCTATCTATCTATCTATCATATCTACCTACCCACCCATCAAGTCGTTCTGTCTTTATATCAACTTGTACTGACTCTGCATTTGTCTGTTATCATATGTAGACTCTACGACCAAAATTTCATGACATTTCCTGATCACACGGAAGCGTCGCGATGAATGGTGGTCTTTCTGTCCTTGTGACAACCTGAGGCAGTCGTGCCGTCGCTGGAGGCAGCGAGGGAGAGGCCATAGCGCCCTGTGAAGTCAGCTGGCTGATGCTTTCCATCAGCGTCCCATCCCCAAAGTAAAGGATTCCAGACATTCTCCCCCATTGTCCACAACGGGGACGGTGACCCTGATGGCGACGGGAGTTTGACATCAGCGGAGCCCTCTTCAAGGGATGAGAGGTGCTGTTTCTGGTGTATGGGGGGGGGGGGGGCGAGCCGGGACTTGGTCTGGCCATGGGGGCTTACCTCTCAGGAACAGCCATTCTGCTGTCTCTTCACCTCAATCCCAAGAAGCTGGGAGACCACTGCAAATGCAGTATCACCCAGAGCCGGAGAGAGAACTCTACGCTTAGCCCTGCAGCAGGAAGTGTGGGAAGCTCCAGGAGCAAGCAAGATAGGCCCAAATCCCCTGCTCCAGAGAAGGCGGACCAAGACTCAAAGTCTAGGTCGTAAGCAGCCTCGGCTCCGTCTAGCTAAATATCACTTTCCCATCTGAGAAATGGGTTGAAACCCTCAACACCTGCCCGCTCTCATAAGAACACCCTGGACGCCTCCCTGCCTCTCTAAACCCTGTCCAGAGATCCTGGATGAGCTCCGGTTAGCAATCTCCCTTAATCCCACGCTGGTCCTGCGCACTGCGCACTGTCTGCTCTGGGCTATATCCCATCTGTTGAGTTTTTCTCTGAAAGCCTCCTGGGTTTAAGTCTCACTATTTCAGCACAGGTGAGAGCTGACCTGCCTTCCACGTGGACACACCTTGGAGTCCTCCCGGGGGATCCGACATCACGGTCAGATATGGAATGAAAGAAGGTTCTAGAAATACATGTTGCAGGGTGTTGATCCGGACAGCAGTCCCAGGATTCCTACAGGTCTAAAACGAATCGTCCGTGCTCCATCATTCTCATGAATGCTCTGGTACTTAACACCTATGAATCTTTCTTGCCCGGACGCCATCGTGGGGTATGAGCTGGAGCACGGATGGGTTTGTCCTGAGGCACACTGGGAACACCACAAGCCTGTTCCTCACCCACACCAGCACCCTGTGCGAGGTGGGCATCTCTGCCTGGGGCTCTCTCTGAGGCTGGGACCCAAGGATCTGACTCTTGGTGTGGCCTCTGTCCTCTGCGGCCCCTGCGGAATGGGAATGAGCATCCAAGGGATGAAAGCCAGATGGGTGGGAAGCTCATCGCATGGCCCTGCCTCCGTGCCTAGGCAGCTGTTCCTTGGGGGAGTCCAGTAACATCAACGAGGCCAGTGAGGCTGCAGGGCAGCGACCGGGGGTGGGGGAAGGGAGGCCAGGGGGAGATGAGGCCAGGAAGTTGCCAGCAACCAAACCATAGAGGGCTTCAGACTGGACTCTCAACCATGGAAAGCCCTTGGGACGTGGCACAGAAGTGCTGTGATCACATTTTGGAGAGCATGATCAGCCTCCCAGCCCTCCCTGGCTCTGGCTGGCTCGTGGCAGGCAGCAGCCCCTTTGCCCCATAGCTCTGCCCTCCTGTTCCCCTCCCCATGCTGTGTGGCCCCCACCCCCACCCTGGGCAGGGGAGTGGTGCTCAGGGTGACGGGTGGTTCCAGTACAACCCTGGGATTAACTCAGTGTGATTTCTCTCACGTTGTATCCATTTGCGTTCTTTCCTTCTTAGCATCCACGCGTGTCCTTCGAAGGTGCGGGGTCCTTGACGCATTTGGGAGGATTTCCTCTGGACAGGGAAGCTTTTGGGAAAGTCCCCCACGCTGCGTTGCCAGAGACCCCACGGATAACTGAGGGCGGAGGGAGGGTAGAGAACTTGGACTTCGACAGAGACACCTGGAGGAGACAGCAGGGTGTTCAGATAAACACATTGTATGGGAAGAGCCGAGGAGCACCCGTGGGAATGCTGTGGTTTCACCTGGGGCAGGACTCCACACACGAGCCAGTTCAGCTGCGCAGAGGTGGGCTACGCACCGCCCACGGCCAGCCCAGGGCTGCTGCTCTCCATCCCACTCATCATGCAATAAACCCAGTGGCCTGGCCATTCTCCCCTTCAGCCCTGCTGGGGACAGCATCCTGTAAGGTGGAAGTACAGTTTAATGTCTGGGCTCATTGAGGCATGCCCAGGACTGCACTGGCGCCGATAAATGAAATCTTGGTGGTGCATATTTGATAATGGGTCACGTGTACCTGGCCCGCAGCGTGGACAGAGAGCACAGCAGAGCAGAGGAGAATTCATTCCTGCAGGGAGCTGCACCCCGGTCAGCCTGGAGCAGGGGTAGGGGTGTGTTGGCGGCGGCGGCAGGGTCAGGGTGTGTCACAGGAGCCAGCACGTGGCTTCCTGTGTTGTGGCCATTTGACAGACCCTCCGCTAAGCAAGGGACCGTCACTCCTTCCCCTGTCACCTGCTCTGAGCAAAAGTGGAGGATGGGGAGGACAGAGGAGCACACAAGAGCGACAGCTCCCCCGTGGGTCGGGTCCACGCTGAGAATCTTACTGAGAACGGTATTTCACTCCCTGCGGTTCCCCCCCGTGACGATGGGGTCAAAGCAGGCATTTTTCAAAGAGAGGCTTCTTTTCTCAATTGATGGTAGGGCTTCCAGTGGCAGCAACATGAAATAGGTCTCTGTTCTCTCTCCCCCAGAGAGAGACGGCCCCTACTAGGGAAGGAGCAGATAATTTCCATCTGGCCTTTGTACGCCTCATAAAAATGTGTTCTGCAGGCGTGTGAAATATACAGGACTGGGCAGTCACGTGAGGAGACAAAGGGCCAACCTCTGGCTGCCCTGGCTTTCTGGGCTGGGAGGCAGTAAAGCAGAGGTTTTTTTTTTTTTTTTTTCTTAAGATTTACTTATTTATTTATTTGAAAGTCAGAGTTACACAGAGAGAGGAGAGGCAGAGAGGGAAGAGAGAGAGAGAGAGAAAGGTCTTCCATCCTATGGTTCACTCCCCAATTGGACGCAATGTCCGATCTGTGCCGATCTGAAGCCAGGAGCCAGGAGCCTCCTCCAGGTCTCCCCATGGGTGCAGGGGCCCAAGCACTTGGGCCATCTTCCACTGCTTTCCCAGGCCACAGCAGAGAGGTGGATCAGAAGTGGAGCAGCTGGGACTTGAACTGGCACCCATATGGGATGCTGGCACTGCAGGTGGTGGCTTTACCCACTATGCCACAGTGCCGGCCCCAGGACTGGAATTGGCACTCTGGCACGAAATGTGGGTGTCCCCAGTGGCGGCTCAACTCGCTGTGCCACAATGCCTCCTTCTTCTTTTCCCTCCTTCCTTCGTGTATTTAATTCTGGGAGATAACAAGCAGATTGACAATGGCAAAGCCTCCAAAAGGACTTCACATGGTAGACGGACGCATGGAGGTAATGAGTTATAATGACCGTGTGTAGAAACCATGATGTGGAAAATGCTTCCGGGGGGAAAGGGGGCGAGGAGGGGAGAGGGGGAGGAGGAGAAAGAGGAGGAGAAAAGAGACCCTGGCTACCCCCCTTGCTTTGTCTCTCCCTAAGCAGCATGATGGCCCTTAGCAGGTGTCAAGCAGACACCAGTGCCAAGTTCCTGATCTTATGAGACCCTGGAACTATGAGCCTAATCCAGGTCTATTCTCTATAAATCACCTCCTCTCGGGTATTTTGTCAAAGCAACAACAGAAAATGGTCTAAGGTGCTATGAGGCCAACAGCATTGCATTGTCAGAGGGGAAAGGGTCTAACCCTCTGTGTTCTTCAAAGTTGCACAGGGATTCTCTTGGGCACTCCCCTCCGCATCTGCGCTCCCAGGAGAGGAGTCACCTGCCTTGCCCCACTGTGACCCCGGGCGCAGGAGGTGAGCCAGCAGAGCCAAGTTCCAGGCCTGTGTTCCCATGCACTGTCTCCCAAAGTCAGGCTGCTCACCTCGGGAGCAGAGGTGAAGGTAGCAGCCACCTGCAGGTAGGTAGTGTCTCGTAGGCCAACAGCTGGCCTGGGCTGCCAACAAGGGCTGTGCCCCTTGCCCTCCTCTCCATCTCAGGGTCCTTCTTCAGGTCTCCTGGGGCCAGTGCTGTGGGGTACATAGCGGGTAAAGCCGCCGTCTGTAGCACCGTCATCCCATATGGGTGCAGGTTTGTGTCCCGGCTGCTCCACTTCCAATCCGGCTCTCTGCTATGGCCTGGGAAAGCAGTAGAAGATGGCCCAAGTGCTTGGCCCCCTGCACCTACATGGGAGACCCGGAGGAATCTCCTGGCTCCTGGCTTCGGATCAGCACAGCTCTGGCTGTTGTGGCCAATTGGGGAGTGAACCAGAGGATGGAAGACCCCTCTCTCTGTCTCTGCCTCTCTTTTCTCTCTGTGTAAATCTGGCTTTCAAATAAATAAATAAATCTTAAAAAAAAAAAAAAAAGTAGGCTTCCTCTGGACCACTTCCTCCCTACTGTCCAATTCCAGACCCTTAAAGGTTACACTGGGGTGTCTGTATCCTGCAGGAAAGCTGCTCCCCAAATGGCAGCAACCGCCCCCTTCAGCCCCCCTGCAGCGTTCGGGGCTGTTGATCTGTCCTCCTGGTGCCGTTCGATACAAGCCGCTACCTGCACCGCCTTCCTCACCAGCCAGGGCTTCCAAAGAGCCCCGGATGCAGATGCTCTTAGCTCTGCGTCCCTCCAGAGCTGCAGCTTTGTGCACTGACCTGCTGTTGGGGGGAGGGGGGCGGCTCTCCCTCTCGGCACCCCTCCCCCACCCCCTGTGGCCATTGCCTCATTCTGTTTGTCACTTACTGTGCTTTTGGCCCGCAGGTAATGAAAGGCTGAACCCAAAATAGCTCCTGCGATAATGAGATTGTGTTATCTTAACGTGGCTGGAAGTGTAGGGAGAAAGCATTTCCAGGTTTGGACACAATTTTTTGCCCATCAGATCATTTCTGCATTCCGAGGTTTCCAGCTCCCGAGACCTGCACAGCACTGCCAGACCACGTGAGAAGATGCAAAAGCACCCACCAAGAACCTCTCCTTCAGAAAGCCAGGAAGTGCCCCTCCAGCTGGCCCCCTGGATCCCATCACGCTCGGTGCCCTGTCTGCACCACGCACAGCCAAGAGGACCAGGAAGACCAGCGTAAGCTCCGAGCAGCTCCGTGATGCTGGGGACAAAGACAAGAAGGAGTGGGGTGGCTGTGGGGTGGCCTCATCACCACCCCTTGAACACCCATCCCCACCCCAGTCTTCCCACCCCTCCCATGGGTGCTCCACGCCACCCATCCTAACCAGACCTGTCACCTTCTCCACGCCAG